AAATCTTTATAGCAGCACTCTGTGACAGCTAAGAATTGGAAACAAAGTAGAAGCCCTTCAGTTGGGGAATAGCTAAGCAAACTGTGCTACATGAATGTAATGGAATATTACTGTACTGTAATAATGTGTGTGATGAATACTAAGAAGCATGGAAAGATTTACATGAACTGATGCAAAGTGAAGTCAGTAGAGCCAAGAAAACAACATACACAGTGACTACAATGACGTAAATGGAAAGAACGAAGACACACTAAAACATCAAAAACACATGAAACAAAATCATAAAGCTCAAACAGGACTCAAATGAAGATATGGGAAGACACCCCCAACCTAGCCTTTTGTGGGGTCACATGGCACAGGTTTTCGGATTCCTCAACGTACTGGTCAGTTGCTGTGCTAACTTTTTTTTTCTCTAGAAAATACTATTTGTCTTACAGGATGTCTCTTGGGGAGGGAGAGATGGGATACTATGGTGACATAAGAAATAGGAAATATCAGTAAAAACAATTCAAAAAAATACTGAGAGGAGTTACTCTGGAATTTACAATTAGCCAGGTAATGCTTATCATAAAGCTGAGCCACAACTTTTACCCCTGACCAGCTATAAATCTGGAGGATTCTGCTAAATTCCACACTGTCAGGAAAGCCTTAGCTGGTTACAGGATTTTCCTTACAAATAAAATGGCAGTACTGGAACCAATAGACAGGAAATTAAAAACTCTTATAATAAGATTGATAGGGGATTGTGAGTTATGGCTTGGGGAGTATTTTAACGCAAAAAGTAAGTAGAATTTAAGGTGGCTTTCTGGGTACCCATGAGAAGCATATGTAAAGAATGTGTTAGTTATAATTTGCAACTCTGGGGAAGCAGAATATTCTTATCTAGTCAACAAAATGAAAGCATTACCGAAGGAATATGTTTGATTATATAAAAATACAGAGTTTTTCCAAAGAAAAAGCAGTATTTCTAAATGAGTAAGAAAAGAAATAGATTGGGGAAAATACTCTTAATAGATTTTTTAGAAAAAAATGAAATCCTGACAGAAATGGAGGCAGCATGGCACAGGGGAAAGAACAATGCCTCAGGAGTCAAGGGAACTGAGTTCAAATCCTCCATCTCTGAACTCCTATGTCAACCTGGATAAATCAGTTGATTTCCTGCACCTGTTTCCTCAACTACAAAACGAAGGAACTGAAGTAAATGTCCTCTGAGGTAGCTTCAAGCTCTAGAGCTTTGAGCCTATAAAGGAGAAATTCCATTTGGGTTTTTTTGTTTCTTTTAAATGGATTTTTATTTGCATGTGTTTTTATATCACCTACATTTCCCACAATGCCCTTCACTCCTCGTCTTCTCAAAGAAACATTCTGCATAATAAGGAATTTTTAAAGAGAAAGAAAAACAAAAAGCTAACCAAGATTTCCAAAAAGTCTGAGGTTATCTGAAGTATTCCACATCCATGGCTCCCAACTACAACAAAGGATCTCTTTCTTTCAAGCCAAGCTGAGACATTATAATTTTGCAGCATTCCATTTTGACTGTTTTATTATTCTTTTCATTTACAGGGTTGTAGTTGGGTTTTTTCCCCTGCTTCTGCTTGCTTCATTTTGGATCAATTCAAACCAATCTTTCCAAACTTCTCTATATTCATCGTATTTCTTTTTTCTTACAGAACAACAACACTCCGTTACATTCACGTACCACAATCTGTTTGGCCATTTCTCCAATTAGCGGGCATCTACTTTGTTCCTAATTTTCTGCCGGACTCCTCTCTTATTCCCCACATCCAATGCCCTGTGATTCTCCCCTTCTGACACCTTCCTAATATGCCCTCTTCTCTCCTCTGACATGGCCCCTACCCTACAGAAGTCTTCACTACCTCACACCTGGATTACTGCAGTAGCTGCTGGCAGGTCTGCCTGCCACAAGGCTCTCCCCACTCGAGTCCTTCCTCTGCTTGGCCATCAAAGTCTTTCTAAAGCATAGGTGTGACTGTGTCAATCTCTTCCCCATTCAGTAGAGTCCAGCACCTCCCTGTGATCAGTAGCATCAAATCTAAATCCCGTCTTTTAAAGCCCTTTTTGATGTGGCCCCTTCCAACCTCTTCAGTCTTCTTACATTTACTCCCCTCCATGAACTCCACAATCCCTCGACATCAGCCTCTTGGATGTTCCTCACAAAAATGCTCCATCTTCCAACTTCAGGCATTTTCACGGGCTGTCTCTCCTGCCTGGAATTCTCTGTCTTCTTATCTCTGCCTCCTGGTTTCCCATAAATCTCAGCTAAAATCCCGACTTCTTCAAGAAGTCTTTTGCAGTTTCCCTTAATACTTCTGCCTTGACTCTTAATTATCTCCAATGCATCCTTTATATATTTTGTTTGTACATAATTCTTCATATACTGTTTTCTTCATTAGAGTGTGAGCTCCCCAAAGGCAGAGGCTGTTTTTGTTTTTGTAGCCCTGGGCTTAGTACAAAGTCTGGCACATAGGAGTGCACCTAATAAATGTAATAACAATAACAAGGCCCAGCCGATGCTGGCTGACTTGCTGCCACAAAAAACATTGCCATGAGAGAATTACTGACCCCGTATTTTACACGTGATTTTACTCTGTAAGTGATTCTAGTCTGAAACCATCTTCTGTATTCTACATAACACCCCTAGAGCCTCTTTCGCCTCTGAGCGAAGAAGCCCACATGTGCCAAAGCTCAATCATGTCTCTCTCTGAAGTTAGATGCCAAGGCTTCAGCTTTCCCACAGCAGCTGTCAGTGGAAGAAGAACTCTGCTCTCAATCCTCTCACAAACCATCATCTCCACATGCGCTGCAGGGTTGGTGGACTAGCTGACCCTTTCCCAGCTTTAGCAATTAAAAAGATGGTTTGGTCCTGTTCCCCAGTCACCTGGGTCCTTATCAGTAACCTCGGGACTCACAACATTTACAAAATCTTTCCTTACAGACAGAAGGCAGTGGTCTTCACTCCACGTGGGGGCTCTGCCCACTATATATAACCAATATAACCAATCATGACTCCCTAACCCCCTGATGTTGTCATTCCCATAATCAATGGCATGATCTCTGTTCTGTGCTTACAAAAATGACTTGCACCTTCAATTCAGGGTCTGTGGCATAAAAGGAGGCAAGCCCCTGACCCCTTCATTATAGATATGGTGCTCTATTAATAAACTGCTATCTTGCTTGGAGAATTGCCTCAGTTTACCTTTTTATTAAGTTTCATTCTACAGCTACCAGAACACTCCAGGGGTCCAGAGTTAGGAAGGCGTGAATTCAAATCTGATCTCAGCAAGTCACCTAAGCCGTTTGCTTCAGTTTCAATTGTAAAAATGAGATAATAATTGTACCTACTTTCCTAGAGTAGTTGTAAGGATCAAGTAAGATCACATTTGTAAAGCCCTTAGCCCAGTGCCTGGCACACAGAACATGCTCAATAAGCGCTTCCTTCCTTCAGTCCGCGTCTACCCAGGGTGACATCCAGAAGCCTGAGGGAACCAAAGTAGGGGGCTGAGCCATAAAAGTCAGGGCCAGGGCAGAGCCCCCAAGTCCTCCAGTCAGACCAGAAATGCTGCAAGGGCACCAGGGACTTCTGGTTCCATGCGGGAAGGGAGCAGGGACACCAGGATGCTCCCACTTTGGACACGAGAATGGAGGCAACGTCAGGAAAACAGTGACAAGTCCGCGACGCTTGGGGGCGCGTTGAGCCCTCCCGGCCTGCAGAGCTGAGCTCAGATAGTCTGAAGGACACAGCAGCCAGAGCCAGAACATCTCCTGGGTCAGAGAGGGAGTCACAAGTGCAGGGAGCCCAGGGGTGACGTAGTTCTGGTCTCGTGGTTTACAGATAATGAAGAAAAAGGACTACACAAGGAGGCAGACCATCCTCTGTCACTGATCGGAGTGCAGCAGGCTCCCCACCTACGCTCTGCTGAAATACAGTGAGGGATTGATTAGCCTGTTTTGAGCCTGTCTGGGGTCTTCAACTATGCAGTTCCACATCAGGCTTTCTACTGTCTTGTCAGATCCTCTTTCTTCCTTCTGCCCCACGGCAACAGCCTTCTGCTACTACCCCAATTGTTTTACATCGTTTTCCTGCCTAATATTCCACTGATGCACCAACCATCATGGGCTCACCCCTTCCCCAATCAAAGAACAACAAATCTGTTTCTTGGATTTTACTTTCACAACTAACACTGCTGGCAATACTTTCATTAAAATGAGTTTTTTCTCTTCTTTACCTACCTTTATGCCTTTAATTTCTTTTTGTGTCTTACAGCTACTGCTAGGATTTCTAAGACTGAGTCACAACAAGAGTGGGGAAAGAAGGCGTGCTGGCTTCTCTCCTGTACCCACTGGGAAAGAGCCTGCTGTCTCCCCACTACACATAGCACCAACTTTGGGCTTAGATATTTTTTAATCTTATTTTAAAAGATCCCTCTTTTACTTTGGCAAAAGCCTGTTCTGAATCTAAGAGAAAGTAATGTAGTTCTGGATATTTTTGTTTTTAATATCATTATGTTTATTATTCAGTGTAATTAGTTGTGCTGAACTGGTTTTTTATGTTCTTTTATTCTCTGGAAAGGGAAGAAGAGTGATATGCAGAGAAATGTAGATGGCATCAAAACAAAGGCTATTGATAAAAGTTATTTCTAAAAAATAAAGTTAATTTACATTTTAAATAAGTAACTGAAAATAACGGAAATTTGTAGTTTCAGGTATTACTTATCACTCTTCCTTGTATATAAGGAATCATTTTTGCTGATGGTTATTAAACTGAAAATTATTTTAAACAACACAAAAGAAGGAGCATATCTTATTCACTGAGACAGGAAAGGAGAGAGAAACAGATTTGGGGACAGTGAAAAGTGAAGCTCATACTTTGCAGTCCAAGGTCTCCCCACAAAGCCCTGGAGGTGAGCTCCCTGGGCACCAGGGATCAGAGGAAATGCTGTTTGCAATGACTCCCTTTTACCTGTTTTGAGCTCACTCACCTGTACAAGAGCCTCTGGAAACTTCTCCCTCTGGCATCCACTGTACTTTTCTCTCTAACAGGGAGATCACATCCAGTTTGGAAACAGGAAGCCCTAGGAATAGGATTAGAAATGGGAGAGGGCTGAAGACAGAAAGTTATCTAACATTTCACTGCTAGTCCTAGAAAGAGGGATAGCCAAAGAAGCACACAGCTGGTACCAACACTGGACACCAAGCTGGAAGGGCAGGACAGCGCCAGGCTGGGGAGGGTTAGGAATGATAACCACAGAATTTTATGTATGACCCTAGGGGCCAAAAGGAACCACTTTAACGCCCACATCAGGGGAGGTGGTCAGGCCTGGGACCTATTCATTAAGTCCTTATTATGTGGAGGAAACTGAGCTGGGGAAAACAAGGTTCAGCCAAGAGGTGTTTGCTGCTGGCCTCACCTGGAGAGGAGAGAGATCCTGGCAAAGTGGGGAGGGCTTCTGGGAGAAAGAAGCCTTCCCATTCCCCAAGGACATCAGCCTGCGTATCATAAGAACACGGCCAGCACAAAGGATCCACGGGCTTCCATCAGCTCCAAGCAAAGACTTTCACTTGGAAACTTCTCTCAATGGGCCACAAGGGACCTGGGACTTACCACAAGTGACTGGTAATCTTGCATTCTCTTATATAACAAGCAAAAACTCAGCTCACCTTTTCAGATGTACCCCACAGCCTGCAGGACCCTGTGGCCGGACTCTGAGTCCCAGGGGACCAACGGTGCGCTTACCAAGGGAGACCAGGTTCTTATAGTTCTCCAACATCACGTCCCTGTACAGGGCCCTCTGGGCAGGCTCCAGGTAGCGCCACTCCTCCCAGGTGAAGTTCACAGCCACGTCCTTGAATGTCACTGATTCCTGAACCAAACACATCCCTGCTTGTCAAGGACCACTCCCCTCAAAGGCCTTGAGACACAGGAAGCTGAAGGGCTTCAAGGCAGAGGTTTTCACAGCATTGAGAGTTGGAATATTTCGTGTCAAATATTTCTTAAATAACGACTTCCTCAGTGGCATGTGCTCCAGTTCACCTCTCCCACAGGTGAACCCCAAGAAAATCACGCACTTTCCTCCCAATGCCCAAAACCTCATGAGAAAAGTCAGCCAACACCTGACGGCAAGACACATCACACTAATGTCAGCACACTCCAAATATTGACTTAGAGCTGGCTACACGTGTCCCATTACTGAGCAACTTATTGGAGGCATATTCACTCAGGATGTGGCACCCCACAAGTGGCCCGTCAGGCAAGAAGCGCTCTCCACTGCCCGCCACGAACGGGGCTCTGCTCCTTCTCAGAGGTCACTGATTCCTCTGTACTTTCAGACCTGGAATAAAATCAGTCCTGTCTCTACCCTTCCACTCCCACCCTTGTGTAATCATAACATTTATTGTGGTTTCTCACAATAGGCACAGAACTTGTTAAGTTCCAAAGGTATATACCCGCTGTCTTTCTGATGACAGTTTTCTGTCCAAGCAAGATGGTAAACCAGCCTCTGGTACCTTTACATAACCCCCTCCCCATCCCGACCAAGGGCTTAACCAACAAGCCTTTCTCTGGGCCTCTTACCATGCCAGGGCACACACACAGCCTGAGGGGTGGGCAGCCCACCTTTTCTGTGATTCTGCCTACTTGACCAGTCCCTCTCCTCTTCTTTTTCTGAGGGGGACTTATCAACTTTTTCATTTGGGGCTTAGAGTGCCAAGCACTATGCTAAGCACTTTACAATTACTATTTTCTCCTCTGTTTATGATGTTACCTTTAATGTCTTGGTAACATCTGTTCAGATCTTAGAAGTGGGCATCTTGGTCTACACCCAATTTCTTGAGTGCCATTCTCCCGTTTTCCAAAGAGTAAGGCCTTCCCAAGCAGCGTGGGTCTTTGTGTTGATCAAACACCAGGCAATAGGTTCACTGTTCACCAAGCTTTCTATTTTCTAACTGGTACCAAGTTGTTTTGAGAAGTATTGCTTTGTAGTGGTTTGGGATCTGGTATCGCTAGGCCCTTTTATTCCCACTTTTTGCCTTATTTCCTTTGAGAGTCTTGACCTGTTTTGCCTCCATATGAATTTCATTATTATTTTTCCTAATCCTTTGGTAGTCTGATTGGTATGGCATTGAATAAGTGAATTCATTTAGATAATAATGTCATTTTTATTACATTGACTTGTTCTTCTTATGAGCCCATCTTCACACAGCTAGCTAGTAAGTGCCTGAGGCTGGATTTGAACTCGGGTTTTCCTGACTCCAGGACCAGCGCTCTATCCATTGCACCACCCAAGTGTCCTCGCTTCCTGAAACAAGGGACCCCAAATTAAACGCTGTCCTCCCAAAGCGTAGTGCTGCGATGAGGCTCCCGGACACCTTCGTTCACCCCCTCCTGCACAGCTCCCTCTCCCCGACTCTCTTGTTTGCTCCCACCCCATCTGTCTCCTCCGGCCTCTTTCTTAAGTCTTTTATCTGCATATCCGTCTTTATCTTTGCATCTCCGCTGCCTGGCACACAGTAGGAGTTTAAGAAATGTTTGCTGATTGGAATTTTTTAAAAGACAGAACAATCTTAATTAATGCCCCCACGCAGATGCTTAACCTCACAGGTACTACAGTCACACCTACACGTCCTTATCAGAGTATGCACAGCCTATCTAAAATCTGTCCATTTACATTTCACGGAGACAGCTGAGCTCTAATGAGGGATAAACTTTGCCTAACTGATGAGAAAAGCCTCAGGCTTCTGAAAAGAAGAATTCAGGCCAAGCTCCTTAGAAAGGACTTGGGGGAACTGATACCACTGAAGATAATGCCTTGACTGAGGAGGGGAAGAACTCTGTTGACATGCTGAGAAAAGATGTGGTATGAACCACTGCCCAGGAGCGAGTGTAAATGAACTCACCCGAAGCCTGGCTGGGAGGAATCCAGAAGACATGCCGTGCTCAGTCCTTCTGTCTGGGGGAAAGGCGAAGCATTGGGGAGTCTGAGCTGGATAAGAAGAAAGAAGTCACCCAACCTGGCTTGCAGCCCCTAAATGAATCCCCCACTAGCCTCTCTCACCCCCTTCCCCAAATCCTTCTGCACTGCCAATTGCATACTCCAAGCCAGAGGTGTTAACGTGGCCTGCTGTTCCAGAGCCTGGGTCAGACCAGATTAAAATGCAATGGGGAAATATGTAGTCCATAAGAATACAATGAAACATAGAAAATGTTAATATGTGGTTTTCTAAGTCAACTTGTACCTGCAGGGATCCTTACGGATGGTTCAGAGGCCCTGCTCCCGGCTCCAGGCCACCCTTTTGATGATCTCCTGCTCTCCTCTTCCTGAGCTGCCAAGGGCGGCCACAGAAAGTTGCTTTTAGACTTAGGTCCCTGGAGCATTTTCCAGACCTCTACCAAAGAGGTTTGGTGGATGGATGAGCTAGGAGTCTGGCTCTCTCTCACTTCTCTAGAGGCGGAGACCCCAGCTCTAGGACTAAGTGTCCTGGAGATCCATCTTACCCTCATCAGAGTCCCCATTATCCCATCATTTCATTCTGAAGTGGCAAAGAGGCACTTAATACAAGTTTGCTGACTGGCCAACTGAATGTACAAGAGTAGCCTCTGAGAATCGCTAAAGGAACAAGGCCAGTCACCATGTATAGCAAGTGGGAGAGGGAAGAGGGGAGAGAAAGGTAAAGAAGAGTTAGGGTATCTGCTGTAATTGTTCATTGCTCCCCACCAGAGTCACTCCCTCACAAAGTCGGTCTGCTACACTGAGATGCTCACCTCTCTCCCCAAGCAGGAGGGCCAAGTCCTCCATGGTGCTGTCTTGGCTGAGTCCTCCCTGCCCAGGCAGGATGGGCAGGAGTCTCTCGCTGCCCCCCAGGCAGTGCCAGGGGCTGCTCCTCGTGGAAGGCACTGTCTCAGGCTGTGTGCTCAGACCTCAGGGCAGGCCCATCTCCTGGCGGGATTCCTCCTCGTGTAGGAAAGGCCCCCACCACCTTCACTTCTCAGTCCAGCTGTGGTCTGGGGGGCTCAGAAGCAAGATTGCTCCACCCAGGATCTTCCCTTGGGGCTCGGTCCAGTCACCTGAGAACTGAAGCTCTGGAGGCGGCAGGAGGGGCCAAGAAAGCCCAGTCTCACCGGCTGCTCAGGACCTTTGGAGACAGGCGCAGACCCTGGACGTGAAAATGGGCCAGTGATGAGTTTCGCTCATTCGTATAGCACTGAAGGAAAACCCACGCTGCCACGTACTGGAGGGGTCCATGAGGAGGAGGAACATTTGGTGATGTCCACTGAGGCGTGGAGGTGTTGAGGTCACCTTCCCCTCTGCATCCACACCGACCAACAGGCCTACGTGGCAACTTTCATTAGTGGGTGGGCCCAGAAACCCTGAATGGGTTAAAACCTAACTAAACTTACTTTTTAAAAATGTTAATGATTAAACTTTACTTTAAAAATATAAACTTTCCTGGGTATCTAGGTGGTGCAGTGGATAGAGCACTGGCCCTGAAGTCAGGAGGATCTGAGTTCAAATCCGGCCTCACTTGACACTTACTAGCTGTGTGACCCTGGGCAAGTCACTTAACCCCAATTGCCTGAAACAAATAAAGAAATAAATAAATGAACTTTCCAAAGAGCCACTTTAACTCAAACTCTTCCCCTTACCAAAGGTAATACTAGCCTCAATTGCTTCTTCCCCAGACTGTGGATAAGGCACCAGGCCTGGAGTCATGAAAACCTGAGTTCAAATTCAGCCTCAGACACTTATTAGCTGCATGACCCTGGGCAAGTCATTTGACCTCCATCTGCCTCAGTTTCCTCATCTCAGGGTCATTGTCAACATTAAATGAGATAAAAATTACAAAGCTCCCAGCACAGTGCCTCATGCATAGTAGGTACCAGATAAACCTTAACTTTTATCACTGTTATTGTGGTGGTGGTAGTTGTATTTTTCAGATTCGATGAATTCCTGGACAGTGTAACTGTCATCACTGAAGAATTTGTGACGTTTCTTTAAAATTCTGAACTTAACAACACCAAATAAAATGAGCACTTCCGTATACAAAGTAGAATACAAAAAGAGGATGCTGCATGAATATAAGATCTCTATTACGTGCAGCCTGTTTTTCCTTTTAAGTCTATGATAAATTCAACATGGGATTTTCTGTTTTGGCTTCATGTTACTGGGTTCCTTATTGGCTTAAAACAACACTCTGTCAGTGTGAGAAGAAATGCCCTTTGATGCAACCATGTTGCCGCTAAAGTAAAAACTCATCTTGATCCAGCGTAAAATTCCAAGACAAAGAACAGACCATTAAAAACACGAACTGCTGGATGCTAAAATCAGAAGCAGAGTCGCTGAGATTTTGGTGCCCTGCACCCCTACTTTTCAGGCTGAGCTCTAGCTAATGCTCTAAAGATCTTGGCAAGAGAAAAGGGTCGTTCCTTGCTTCTGCTCATTCTTGAGATGACCACGAGTGAAAAAAAACAAAATAAAACAAAATATGATACCAAAATTTCATATGCCCTGGCTGATCGTAAGGGGCTTGGAAATACCGGCAACTTACAGTTGCATCCACATTTTTCACATTTTCCCTAAACAATGAAAGTCTGGACTATTCTTAAAATTTTTCTAAAACTACACACAGGTAACTCCCAAAGCTATCCTCCTTGTCTGTTTCCTTCTGGCCTTACTTCCAAAGAAACACTAAAGAAGAGACTTGGGTGGAGGTCCCAAGAGCTGAATGATGGGGCTCTATTTCCAGAATCGAGAAGTTAAAGGTGACTCTGGCTGTGAGCTTTCTCACATCTGATGCAGCATGTAAACAATCATTTATTTCCTTATTTTGCTGTGGACTAAATTGTTCGTTGCAAAGCTAATGACTTTGACATTTGAGTATGTATTAGGGGAGGGTATACAGATGAGCCAAGGTTTATGGGAAGAAGTTTCCCCAATTCACTTCATAATATGTGATAAATGGGGTGGCAGCTGAGCTAATTTGATAATTAATAAGGGAGATGTTGCAGCTCCAGTTATTAACGTCCACAGAATACACTTCTTGACTTAGAAGCCAAGATGAGAATGAATAAGAGAATGAACCAGTGGCAGGTAGACAGAGGGGCGACCATCTGATGAAGGCCACACTTAGAGGGCACAGACCCTAAACCCTCGTAAGTCTAAAATGCAGAATAACCTTTTTAGCCTTAATCTTCTTAGTATTTAAAAAAAAAAAAACAAACAACCTTCCCAACCAAGCTTTGTTCTCCTCCCCTGGCACTCTACGCTGGAGAGAGGGCAGTGGAATCAGCAGGACCGATAACCAATAACCAGAGGCTCCTCACACATCCTCCAAAACCTTTCAGTGTCACTGGCTGGGGCTTCCTGTGCTTCCCTGGAGCCTCAGCTAAAGCCACAGCTTCTGTAAGAAGCCTTCCCCGATGCCCCTTAGTGCCACTGCCTTCCCTCAGAGACTGTCTCCAGCCTCTCCCGTTGGGTCTCATCTGCACAAAAATGTTGGGGTATTTCTCTCCCATCAGACCAGAAGCTCATCAGGAGGCAGGACTGCTTGGTTTTCACTTTCTTTGTCTCCCCACTGCTCAGCAAAGCACCTAGTAGTAGGCAATTCACAAATGCATACTGACTTGATGCCAACCCAAGCCACACTGGAAAATCAGTACTCAAATGGGGCAGAAGAGCCAAAGGAGAAAAGATATCTAGTGGGGTTTCCCCTGACCTGCTTGTGCACTGGAGTCCTTGGGCTGAAGGGGACCATGGATGGGGAGAAGAGGGGCCCTCACAGGCAGGAAGGGGGAGCACAGAGAACATGCCTGACCTCCACAGGATGCGGGCTCATCCAGCAGAACCACCTCCAAAGTGAGTGAGACAGTACCCAGGAGAGAGTCGGCAAGAGGGTGGGAGAGGGCTCCTGGCCTGTGGACAGGCGACCCAGCCACTGGGCACACCTTCTTGGTCCTGTGCCAGAGCCTTACAACAGAAGCACAGATGGGGGGTGGGGGGCGGCTACAGAGCTAACCGGTGTTCTCCGGGCCTGGGAAAACAGTCCTGCTCCCTACAGCCAAGCTGCGGGCTCGGCAAGGTGTGTTTGGGCCCCTGTCCTGACCCCTACACACATACAACTGACCTTTAAGCTTACACACACTCAAGCACATTCATAGCCTTCACACACACATACACACACACACACACACACACACACACACACACACACACACACACACACCCCCCACTCCAAACACAGGTGCCCACATATGGCCCACAGATTAACAATCAGTTAACAAGCATTTACTTAGGGTCTCCAATGTGTTAGGCACTGAGGCAGGTGTTGGGGACAGAGACACAAAGTAGAAGACTATCCCTGCCTTCAAGGAGCTTATAATCTAGCCAGAGGAACTATGCATCCATAATACAAGAACATACAAAAGGTATCACTGGGGCAGAGGCAGTAGGGACCTTGGCAAAGGCTCTGGGGCAGAAACGGAGTCCTGAAGGGAGGGCATCCTTGACACGAAGACAGCCAGGGCGGCTGAACCGCTGTGGGAGGGAAAGGCCTAAAGAATAAGGAAAGGAAGGCTGGGGCCGGCGCCTAATAGAGGCATTTCTCTTCTCTAGTTGTGAATCCATCTGGCAATCTAATGACGCCTATGGAAGCCAGCGCAGAACAACTGTTTTAAATGCCTAAAATACAATGCATAGGACTTACAAAGGAAACCATTCATATCGAAATGCATTATCGAAGTGTTTTGTTTTTAAAAACAAATCCAAGATCCCTGGGTGAAGAATCCTAAAGGTAACAGAGGCCGAGGGAGCTTCGCGAACAGGAGTGACATAGTTTCGCGCTAGAGAAGATCAGTGTGGCTGTGTGAAGGACGGACTGGAGAACGGAGGGGCTTGAGGCAAGGGGACCAAATCGGAAGCTACGACCATGATCCACACAAAGGATGAGGACCTGAATGAAGGGACAGCTTGTGGAGGGAAGGGGACAGATTCAAGAGTGAGCAAGGAGGGAGGAAAGTCAAGAACTGCCAATGGGCTGAACAGGTGGAGGTGGGGAATGTGAGGAGCTGAGGACAGCAATCAGTTAGCAATGGGGAGGGCTGTGATGTTCTTGGCAGTAACAGAGGTCGGGTAAAAGAGGGAGGGCTTGCGATGAAAATCATATTGAGTCTGAGCTTCCTATGGGACCTTCAGATTGTAATGTGCAATTAAGTACTTGCTAAAACAGGAGGGGAACTCAGGAAAATCAGGACTGAGAGTAATCAGGACAGAGGCGACAATTAGATTCCAGGACTGTGCCCAAGCACATACTATATTATGCAAATCCCTGGACCCATCAGTACCACTACAACATCTACACCCCAAGGAGCACAAAGAAGGAAGGACCCATATGTACAAAAACATTTAGAGTAGCTCATCTCATAATGGCAAAGAACGGGAACACGAGGGGATGCCCATCAGCTGGGAAATGGATGAACAAGATAGGGTCTATGCATGTAACAGGAGACTGTCGTGCTGCCATAAGAAATAACAAAAGGGACAGTTTCAGAACAACCTGGGAGGTCTTGTACAAAATGATGCAGAGGGAAGGAAGCTGAAGTAGGAAAACAATTCAGACAAAAACGACACTCTAAAGACAACTATGAACAACTTCAGAACTCTGACCAATGCAATTGATAAGCCAAGATTTCAGAGGAGGGAAGATGAAGTAGCCGGTCCACCTCCTGCTGAAGAAATGATGGAATCAGGACATGTTTTTGGACTGGCCAGGGTGGGGATGTTTTGCTTGACTATGCATGTGTTAAAAAAAAAAAAGTGGGGTTTGTTTTTATTTTCTTTCTCAATTGCTGGAGGATAAATTGGGAGGAAGATAAAATACATGCTTATAAAATTTTTAAAATTAATTAAAACCAATTAAGCTCATGTGAGCTAAGGCCAACAGGAGTACTGAATGTAGAGAGGAAAGAGAAGAGGGCCAAGGAGTTAGGGGAAGTGAGAAGGATGAGGATTCCCATGCTCCCCTAGATTGTATATTCTCATTTACCACACTCTCCCACCCCAAAGTTCCAATCCCCCGGAATATCTGTTTCACAGACAACAAACTTCCCATCAGCCTAAATCTTTTCCTCTTCCACTCCTTCCATCTGCTAGCTTTTACTAAACCTGGCTCCCCCCTGTGACGCAGACTGCCTGGCCACCCTTTCTGGTACCGGCTGCACCTTTACTCATTTGTCTTGGCTCTCTGGTCAAGATGGAACATACCTTGCTTCCCATTGCCACTTGCAGGTTCTCCCCCTTCCTCCATTACTCAGTGACCTTCCCTCCTTCGAGGTTCATGCTATTCACATCTACGACCCAATTAAAATCCCGGTAGCTGCTGTCTAGAGACCCCTGGGTCACTCCCCTTCCTTCCTCAATGAGCCTGGTCCATAGCTCACAATTTTTCTCTCCTCCTCAATCCCTGCCCTCATACTACGGAACTTCAACCCACATACTGACCTCCCTCAGGCGTCCTGACCACCCACTTCTTCAGCCTACTCTCCTCCCATGAACCATCCCTGACGTTGCCCACCCTGGCACGAGCCCTCATCACGTCATACCTGGATTACTTCAAGTCTCCTGCCGGGTCTGCCTGCCTCAAGACTCTCCTCACTCCAATTAACCTTTCATTCAACCACTAAAGCGATACTCCTAAAGTGCAGGTGAGGTGGTGCCAAGCCCTCCCTCAATAACTCCAGTGGCTTCTTCCTACCTCCGTGAGTAAACACAAAATGCTGTTGGGCCTCCAAAGCCCTTCACACCTTCCCCATCTTCTTCCCTTCCTCTCCACCCACCCCTGGGAGCTCCAGGAGCAAACCCCTCCCCTCTTGGCTCTGGGCATTCTCTCTGGCCGCCCCCCTCCTCGGCTCCACTCCCTGGCTTGCCCGCTTTGATCCCAACCAGAACGTCCCCTTCTGCAGGAGTGGGGTCACACTCAAAGAGAAGGGGTCCTCGTGGGATGCGGACTGACTTGAAGCCCGAGCTGACACACCCGTGGTCCGAGGTATTTTCACTGGGTTAACTAGCTCCCAATTGCGTTTTAACCTGGCTCAGGCTGCAGGCAGGCTGAGGGTGACACCTCTCCCCGACCCCTCTTCATGCCAGCAGCCTGCCCTTAGAGCGTAAGCTCCTTGAGGGCAGGGCCAGTGCCTGGCACACAGTAGGCTCTTCATCAACCTTTGAGAAGGAGCTGAAGAAGCAGAGAGGGCAGGGGCAACTACTGTGGGGAGGGGGATGCTGGAACGCTTCGGAGACCCCAGGGCTCGGACAAGACCCCGGCCTGGGTCACTCTGGCCAAGGGAGGAGGGAACACTGCCCATGGGAGGCCCAGAGTGGGCTGAGAAAAGAGGGGAGGGGCCGAGGGTCTGGAGGGTCTTCTGGAGGGGGGTCCGCGGCAGAAAGAGGGGCAGGAGCCGGCGATCCGCAGGAAAAGCTAGGAGGGGGCAGGGCACGGGGGGGGATTGGGGAGGAGAAATCGGGCCTCCGCAGAGAATCCACGCCAAACTCTCCAGAACAGGCCGTCCCGCGTGGCAGATCACACGGACACGCGGCCCACTCCTGGAAATTTCACTCCCACGTGCAAGCACATACACGCGCGCGTTCCCGGAGGCCCCACGCTCCTCCACGGGAGCATACCCGCGTGCACACGTAAGCCACCCTGTGCGTGCACTAGACGCCACTCACTCCCCGACCAGGCACGCCTCCGAGAGCACGGCCCGGAGGGGGCGGGAAGCGGGAGAGGACGCTGCGCCTGCGCACTGACTCGCCCGCAGGAGGCGTCCGGGAGAGCCCAAGGGCCGTGCGCAGGGATGGGGGAGGCGTCGGCGGGGGACGTTGCGCGTGCGCACTCCCTCCCTCAGGCCCTCCCGTCTGCACTCACGCGCCGGCTCAGCCCCTCGAGCCGCCCCCGGAGCACCGGGCTGCAAGTCTGGCCTCCTAGAAGGGACACGGCCTTGGCCTTCTGACACCCGGAAGAACGATTCCCAAAATGGGAAGTCTACGTCATTCCGCACCTGAGGGGCCTCCCGGTGCATTCTGGCAAATGGAGTTCGGAAGCGGGACGGCGCCTCCTGGCCCGCACTGCGCATGCGCCGCTGCAGGCATTCACCACGAGGAGTCCGAGGTTTACTCGCCCAACAGAGCCTCTGTGCCTGCGTATTGGAAAGGCCCCTGCTCAGCGCAAACCGTTGGCCCTGGCGGGGTTACCCCTTCATTCAAGGAGGGGCCCACTAGAAGGGTGAGACCCCCACCCCCCACGGGTATCCCCCGGAGTCCCGGCCCGGCAGGAACCAATCTAGTGTGAGGCCTCGGGAGCTGGGGGCGAAGAGGACGGTGCGCAGGGAGGGAGGCCGCAGAGACAGCCCATGGAGGCGGCCGGCACCCAAAGTCCAGACGAGGGGAAAGGCGTGAAAAGGACGGGGAGTTCCAGAATGCCATTCAGAGAGGATTCTCCTTGGATACTTCCAGGGCTCGGGGAGCTCATCATCGTGCCCTCTCCAGATGTGCACGGCGTGGCCAGGAAGTTCGGTCTTTGGGGAGGTTTCCTGCGGTCCCCAGAAACCTCCCGGCCCTGGAGTGTAGGGGCAGCCCGGCGCTTCCAGCCCTGCAGGCTCTGTCCTTGCTGTGGAGGCTTCCCAACATGCCTTCCGGGGGAGTTGGGCTTCCGTGGGGTTCCCTTTGACCCTGAGCCCCATTCAGAAGGCTTGGAACACTTTGTTGCGCCCTGCCCAGGTCTCAGTTTCCCCATTTGTAAACAAGGGGAGAGGTGGATTAGATGGGACTGAAGGGTTTTTCCAGTTTTGACCTCAGACCTCCACCTCTCAGTCGGTTAAAACCATGACTGCAGAGGCTGGGGCGGTGGCCTGATGTGATTTCAGAGTGGGTAGAGGCAAACGAAAAGGCTTCGCTTAGAAGAGACCTCAGAGACTGGTGATTCCCACAACCGCCTTCCCCCTGAACAACGGCGGAAGCGGGCCCATCGAGGCTGGGTTACTTGCCCAGAATTACAAGCTACCAAGTAGCTGAGGCAGGATTTAAACTCAGATCTTCCTGTCTCTAGCCTCTATGTGAGACAGTTAGAAGGCAAGGTGGATAGAGCCCTGGGCTTGGAGTCAGAAAGAGAGGAGCTCACATTCAGCTTCAGACACTCAATAGCTCTGTGACCCTGGGCAAGTCACTTCATCTGTTTTTCTCAGGTTCCTCAACTGTAAAGTAGGGATAATAACAGCACCTACTTCCTTCACATGGTTGTTGTGGGGACCAAATGAGATAGTATTTGCAAAGTGTTTAGCACGGTGCCTGGCATAAAAGCATAAAAAAGGGGCAGCTAGGTGGTACAGTGGATAGAGCACCAGCCCTGGAATCAGGAGGACCTGAGTTCAAATCCAGCCTCAGACACAGAACACTTACTAGCTGTGTGACCCTGGGCAAGTCACTTAACCCCAACTGCCTCACCAAAAAAAAAAGCATAAATTCCCCCCCCAAAAAAAAACCTTAAATGCTTACTATATGCAAAACATCCTTGCAAATAGAAAAGATAGTCCTTGCTTGCAGGGAGCTCATATTCTAGGGGGGAAGACAACACATAGCTCTCAGCTGCAAGTCAGGTGGAAAGATCCCTTGAGGCGTGTTTTCCTATCTCCCACAGCCGGCAGATTCCATTGCCCCACCAACATTTCTCCTTCACCCATCCACCCTCCCATTCAGCTGCAGTCCTTTCTGCCCCAAAAGACGATCAGTAATCATTGTAAGTCCAGAGTTCCAAAGACTTGCTCCTCCCAGCCAATGCTGTCCTGAAGCTTCAGTGAAAAGTCTTGTGGCATGTGTCTTCTCTGGGCTGGGGTCCCCTTCCAGGGGGGCATCATCCATCTCTTTTACCTTCTAGTGAAGCTGGGGCTCAGAGGCCCAAAGGCAAGGTCACTTAACCTCAGGCTCAGACCCTCAGCCCAGCTGGACCCTGCTTTCCCCTCCCCCAGGACTCCACTAGGGGCTACTCAGGCCAGAGAATGGCTGGAGGCTACAGGCTAGGCCATAACCTACCTCATGACCACCCACTGTAACTCAGGCCCTGGACATACAAGGTGATAGGTGATCAGTTTCATGCTTTTCATGAACCTATTTTTTTAAAAATATATTTAGTTTTCAATATTCACTTTCATAAGATTTTGAGTCTTAAATTTTCTCCACCTCCCTCCCCTCCCCTCCCTCCACCCCAAGATGGCATGCAATCTGATGAAGGCTATACATACATATTAAACAAATTTTCACATTAGTCATGTTGTAAAAAAAAAATTAGAACCAACTGGAGAAACCACAAGAAAGAAGAAACAAAACAAAACAACAACAAAAAGAGAGCATATAGTATGTTTTCATTTGCATTCAGACTCCATGGTTCTTTTTCTGGATGTGGACAGCATTCTCCATCATGAGTCTTTTCCAGTTGTCTTAGATCCTTGCATTGCTGACAAGAGCTACGTCTATTAAAGTCAGTCATCACACAGTGTGGCTGTTGCTGTGTACAACATTCTTCTGGTTCTCACTTCACTCTGCGTTGGTTCATATACATCTTTCCAGGTATTTCTGAAGTCCGCCAGCTCATCATTTCCTATAGCACAATGGTCTTCCATTACATTCATATACCACAACTTGCTCAGCCACTCCCCAGTGGATGGGCATCCCCTCAATTTCCAGTTCTTTGCCACCACAGAAAGAGCTGCTATGAATATTTTTGTACACATGGGTCCTTTTTCCATTTCTTTGATCTCTCTGGGATATAGCCCCAGAAGTGCTATTGCTGGGTCAAAGGGTATGCACATTTTTATAGCCCTTTGGGCATAGTTCCAAATTGCTCTCCAGAATGGTTGGATCAGTTCACAACTCCACAAACCATGCATTAGTGTTCTAATTTTCCCACATCTACAGCATTTATCATTTTCAAGAACCTAATGTTAACATCAAGGGCAGAGGTCAAACGCTGGCAGATGGCCAGCCCCTTGGCATTGAACTCTTTGGGCCACAGCAAGTCACCAAAAACACCAAAGTGTGGAGGGGCTGAGACCCCTGGCCAGCCCCTAACCTCCCACACATCCCACGGACCCTCGAGGGTACAGCTTACCCATAAACGCCTCCTCCATCCACACTCTAATATATTAAACTAATAAATGCTCATTCACACACACACGATCACAATTATGCTTGCACATGTCTCTAGGGCTGTGTAAGACAGCCCCCCATGCACACAATCCTGCTCCCCCAACACAGACCCACCCACGCCCTCGCATAGCTTTTCCTGCACCCCCGGGGCCATGCGCGCGGGCACACACTCATCACAGCACCCCCGCCCTGCAGGGAGAGGGAGGGGCTCGCATCCGCTCTTACCCCTCCAGTTCAAGGGGAGTGGAGGCCATCGGTCAGAACATGCGCACTCCTCCCCTCCCGCTTTCTTCCCCTGCCCCCATCGAAGAGGAAGTTGGGACTGCGCAGGCGCAGTCCTCCTCTTCCCCAGCTCCCTCCCTCACTGGCGCCCTCAGCGGCTGGGGTACTCACCAGGAGTCCGGAGCGGGAAGTCCGGCCTTAAGCTGCCAGACCGGGGCTTCTCCCTCAGGGCCCATCCCCACGATCTGCTGTGGGACGCGTCTGGGAAATGGGGACTCCCCGTCCTCCCCCGCCCCGAAGGCATCAAATTCATGGGCATTCTGGGAAATGGAGTCCGGAAGCAGAAAAGCTTTTGTGGCCCTCCCGAGCACGCGCAGTATCGACCGCGAGCCACGATGGGGCTCCGCGGGGCTCCTTTCCGAGGAGTGGCTTAGCCGTCCCTACACTGGGCTGCTCTCGGGCGTCCCTTGTATCCTGGTTAGCTGAGCCGCGTGTTCTGCTGCCTTCTTTCCCAAATTACGTAGTGTTCCTTTGGTAGCCATATTCTGGGCGTTCTTCCATCGGTTCTTAACTTCCGCCGTAGACTATCAGCTCCTTGCGGAGGTTCTGTTTCATTTGGGGCTTTTTATCCCCAGCTTCCAGCACAGTGCCTGGCACACAGGAGGCAACTAATAGATGTTCATCCATTCACGAGAGGAATCTTCATCTCCGTAAAGAGGTGATTTCCCCCCTTAAACCGGTTAAGAGGGCGGAAATAGAAGGGGACTTCTGGATCCTGGCTACTCACCTGGTAGTTCACCAAATCAGCACGTCTTTGTTAAGGATTTTCTGTGTGCCAAGCGCTGTGGCAGGTGCTGGGGGATAGAACACACAAAAAAGAAGCGATCCTGCCTTCAAGGACCTTGTGTTCCATTGAGGAAAGATCGAGAGCTGGAAGAGACCATCTGAGCCAACAGCCTTATTTCACAAGTGAAGAAGGGAAGCATCAGAGGGGAAATGGCATGCCCACGGCACACTGGCAGTTTCAATCAGAAACAGAAACTGAACTCGTGCCTTCCAGACTCCGAGGTCAAGCTGGGCTTCTTATCCAGGCTGCCAGCCATTTGACAAAGATAACAAAGATGGAAATAGTCGATTTTGGAGGGATTGTGTAAAGACAGGCACACTAATGCTCTGTTCATGGAGCTACGCATGAGAATGCCCATTATGGAAAGCGATCTGAAATTTATGCAAAGAAAGATGCTAAAATGCATCTTTTGACCCAAAGATTCCATTTCTCTATCTATGCCCCAAGGCAGTCATTGACATGAAGAAAAGCTCCCTATATATCTATCCTGCCTCTGAGAAATTATTTGTTTTATGTTGTTTGTCGAACTCAAGTTTCAGGTGCTTGTGGCCAGACTCCCAGGGAGGACCTCACCTTGCAGCCAGGATTCTACGTGGGATGATGTAGCCAGCCATCCAGCCTGGAGACCAGCAGGAAGCCTGGAGAAGCCAGAGTGTTTGAGACTTGAACCGGATTTGGGACTTGGGACTGTGCTCTGTAGGAACTGAGCCTAATGAACCTAATTCCCTTCTCTGCCTTAGAGACTTCAGCTGTAAAAGAAGGGAGGAGGATTAAGCCCCATACGTTGGAGAGTAAGTTTGTATATTCATAATCAAGCTTTTCCAAATAAATATTCCTTCATAAAAGCTAATCCGTCTAAATGGAACGGGGGTTCAGTGGATCCCTCTTACAGTTAAAGGGAACCCCATTATTGGGAACTAGAGCCATTTGCAGAGAGCCTAGATACGCCACCAACCTTCCCTCCCCCTTAAGGAGACTGGGGAACCCTGGGGGAGGGGTAGAGGTTCAATATCTAACCTTGGCAGTGGAGGCCAAGGTAGTCATTGTTATATGTTTCTAGGATCTGGAGTAAAAGAGGGGAAAAGTATCATCCCTCCTAGTTCAGGGGTGGCTCTGGAGCTTTGAGTGAAAGAGACTTTGCTGGCTTCACAGCCGACCAAAGGGGGTTATGTCCACTTATGTGGTAGGGGACAAAGTAGCTCTGTGTCACACGACCTAGGTGTGCCTAAGACATGCGCCTCAGAGTACCTCCATGTTAAGCAAACTGGGCATGCTCCAAATACCCCTACTAGAGTAAGACAAGAAAGATACATTAGAAGAATAAGGAAAAACAAAGAGAAAACAAAATTATCACTTTTGTGAATGATAGGATGATTTATGTAGATAACTCTAAAGAGTCAACCAAAAAATAATTGAAATATCAATTCATTAACGTCCCAAAATATAAAATAAAGCCATATAAATCATCACCATTCCTGTATATCATACACAAAACCTAGAAGGAAGAGCTAGACAGAAAAATCCCATTAAAAACAGCTACAGATGCTATAAAATAGTTGTGAATGCATCTATCAAGATGTGTACATGAACCATAGGTGGCACAGGGGTCAGGAAGACTTGAGTTCAAATCCACCCTCAGATATTTCCTGCCTGTGCCATCATGGGCAAATCACTTAAACTCTAGTCTGCCTCACTCTTCTCATCTGTAAAGTAGCACCTACCTCAGGGTTATCGTAAGGGTCAGATGAGATCGTATTTGTAAATCTCTTAGCACAGTGCCTGGCACATAGTAGGGGCTTAATAAATGCATGTTTCCTTCTCTTCCTCATATAAATCCAACAACAAAACACTTCAAAAAAAATAAAGACAAATAATTGGAGAAACATTAATTGCTTATGGAGAGGTC